TTGGCTAAATAGAGTTTTGGTATTATAGCTGATGTCAGTTCATGATGAAAACCCTGAATCGAATTCTCAACCTTAATCATCAACTGTAAATCATAATTCTAATTCCTCACACAGTTTTATAACTTTTGATGGAGTTTTGTTCTCTGAGCTGGATGGTTTGGTTGTGGAGCTTTCATCGTTCTTCTGAACGACATCATCAGCACAAACTTCAGATAGAAGTGAAGTGTTCGAATTTCTCCATATGCGTTTCACAGCTTGTTCTGTGCACCTCGATGTTGATGCACCTCGATGTTGGTCAATAAGAACCAATCAACATCGAGGTGCACAGAACAAGTTGTGAAACGCATATGGAGAAATTCGAACACTTCAATTCTATCTGAAGTTTGTGCTGATGATGTCGTTCAGAAGAACGATGAAAGCTCCACGACCAAACCATCCAGCTCAGAGAACAAAACTCCATCAAAATCATCCACCTGAGCTACAAATCTTCTCCACAGTTTTATAACCCTCATTTAGCCCTAGTTTTTAAGTGAACACTCTCTAGGTCACTTTAGCGTCGTTCAAATGTCGTCCATAAATTATACTCTCAGCAAACAGAAAAATCACTAGAAGTACAGGTTATGACATATTTAGTAAGAATTAAAAAAATAATAAAAATGTTATCAATAACAGTATCTTTCAAGATTGGTTGGAGGTAGTCGACAGGAAACCCTAGACCCGGGTTTCGTGCTATTTGACACTCGTCAGCAAGGCGTACCTTGAGGGAACTGGTGCTCCCTGGCTGATCCGATCCCGTGCCCCCAAATGCCCTGGCACGGCTGAGAGTGGGGAGAGTCCGCTCTCACTCTCCAAATGCTCTTACATGGCCACGCATATGTAGCCTCTCGCAGGGAAGTCCTACTCACTGCCTTCACGTGGCGGGGGTGTTGTTTACGAAAATGAGAGGATGAAAAGCGAATGTCTGGCACTTTAACCGGACCCCAAACCATTGGTGCACATGGGCTCCAGTATCCTGAAGGAACAAATGGCGTATGAATCAATCGTTGGTCACCGGCTACCATGGGAGTGCATCTCCTTACGATGCTCCACTGCCTTGTGGGTCAGACGTTCAGGTCGAAGGCTCGGTGTGTGGACTCCTAAGGAAACCACCTGCTTCGGTTTGGGCACCCGGGCAGTATCACAGCCCTCACACAAATCAATAGAGATTCGTGTGGCGTATATGTACTTGGTGCCTTTTTGTACCTATACCTATGTGTCAAAATAAATAAATAAATAAATAACTTTCAAGATTATTTGAATTTCTTATAATGAATGTTAACTATTTATTAATGTCTAATTGTCTACCTGGAGTCTCTCTAGGGCTACTACCGGTCCCAAGTTCTCATAAAAGGAGGAATGTTGGGCATGGGATTAGCTATCCCATCCCATAGAAAACTAACTCGCTAAAAGAAAAAAAAACGCTAACCAGAAAAAAAGTAAGTATGTAAGTAAGTAAGTAAGCAAGTAAATAATTTATTGATGGATGATTTTTTGATATTAGATATAACAAACAATTTTTATGATATAAGAAAGTAGGACATTTTATTTGACCTGCTAATTATTTATATATTTTTTAAAAAAAATATATTGAAACAATCTTTAAATGTTCCCATTATATTAAAATAACTAAATGACATAATTAAGGAATAGATGACAAAATAAAATATTGAAAATGTTACTATGATATAATAGAAATTTAGGTCAAGAACGATTAATTAAGAAAATTGAGTTTTTATAACTGAAATGTATATGTTATTTTAATAGATATATAACTCTTTTGAGCATATGTTTTTGAGTATACTAATGATTTATTTCTCATTATAATTAAGAAGGAAAAGAATTTTCTAGAATATAGTTTGAGAGAGAATCCTGGTTGAGTGTGTGTGTATGTGGGGGGGGGAGGAACTATACTCTTCCATGAGGGGGTACAAGCTTTAGTAAGTAAAGTATAATTAAGAAAAGCTATATAAAAAGATAAAATGATGATAGAAGTGTAATGGTTGTTGAAACTTACAATGTAAAGAGATTGAATCACAATCAACCTTCTTGTGAATTTAACAAAATTCAAATGTTTCCATAACTAATTAAAATAGTAACATTTGTACATTGAAACAGTGATTAGAATGAGTTAAAATTTCGGTAAGATTATAATTTATGAACGACATTTGAGCGAGACTAAATTGACCTTGAAAGTGTCTATCTAATTACTAAGGCTAAATGACGGTTATAAAGCAATTTGAAGAATAAAGATTATGATTTACAGTTGATGGTTAATATTGAGAATTCGATTTAGGGTTTTCATCATGAACTGACATCAGCTATAATACCAAAACTGTATTTAGCCAAATGGCTGAATGAATTTCGCGCCAAAATCTAAGACCTGTAATCGTAAATCTCATTGTTTCTTCCATAAATTATAGTCTTACCAAAATTTCATTTAAAAAATATATTTAAACAAACATTTTGAAGATTAATTATAAATTCAGTTTATACATGGATATTATTACGATACTTTGTTCCATTCAGCATTAAAGACAAGACAGACAAGAAAAATTTTTATCATTTATCGGCAACATAAAGTCATACCATTGTTAGCATGACGAGATCAAATTAACAAGGTAACTAGTTTAAAAAGAGATAGAAATGATGTAGTAGTAACAAAAATGGCAGACACACACATAGAGAGAGATAATATGGTCTAAAATGGCAGAATGGAAAGGTACAGCAATACTGAAATTCATAAACGAGTGGAAGATAAAGAGTAAATACATCTATCCCGATTAATTCTGAGATAAAAATATGATAGTTAACCTTTGTCAATGATCAATAATCACATTTTAGACTATTACACATAATTTTGCGGTAAGCGATGATGGATAGTGGCTATCAGTGGAATCCAGGACGAGCGTTTCGTCCTATTTTGGACTAGTCAGCTGGATGTATCTGCGTTTTCCACTCAGCTACTGAGTCTACGCGATGGCGTTTGAATCGAATAGTACTGGGTTCGAGTCCCACAGTGAACATCAACTCTGAGATGCAGATACATCCAGCTGACTAGTCCAAAATAGGACGAAACGCGCGTCCTGGATTCCACTGCTAGCCACTGTCCATTATTGCTTACTACAAAAAGCTTACGAATTAAGGCAATATCGAGGCATACGCATAGTATGTACATACGTCAATAACAGACTGATCAATTGCAGTCTTAGACCTCAATAAGAAGCTACAAGCCAAACAATACCAAGTGTATTACACATAATCATTTTCTTAATCATTTTTTTTTTACTATTCACTTTCATTTTGTATACTAAATATCACTCGCAAAATTATTGAACGTCACTTCAATATTGTACTGTCGGTTGTGATGCAAGCCCATATAGCTTATTCTAGCTTCCGGACAGGCCAATTTATTTATCCTTCTTGAATTATATTTTGACCTCATCAATTATTTGCTTATCAACTTGGACTGTTTTTATGTGAGTATATGTGTGTGCATTGCTTATCCTATTCATCACATATTTGCAACTTATTTCTATCCGACAATAAATATCGATTAACGCTTGATTAAAGTGAGTTGGCTCATGCGCCTCCACCGCTTTGCTCTCTTCACTTCGCTTTTTTCGCTTCGTTCCTTTGATCGTTTATCCAGATCAATAAGTGTACAAAATATATGTATTCAAAAATCCATTTTTGTATTTGACTTATTTTAATTCCATTATTCACTAACGCAATTAAAGTCGATAATTTTATATACGAAAATAGCCAGAATGTATATTTTAACAACAATCATTTATACGATGTAATTGGAGTCAGATCTCGGGGCCACAAAAATGTAACAAACAGGAAAATGATAAAATGAAAAAAGTTCACAAAAATAAGTCAAAATAAATAAATAAAATGAGTTAGTGAAAAGTTTAAAGCCAATTTATCCAATGTAACTAACAATCAATAACGACTATTTCATGAATTAAAACCGAACCGAATTATCTACATGGTTCACAATATCAGTCAGTAATGTAATAGAATAAATTCAAGCTTCAGCTTGATCGTATATATGATCTTCTTACACAATTTACTTCCATGGAATATCTTGAGTTTAGATAGTAACTAGGGTGTGACATTTTCTTCTCTACTTATTCTATAAGTTCAAAATCTGTTCAAAACTATTTAATACATTTGGTAACATCAAGATATCCTTTTAATATTCATATAAGAAATTATAGAGCGACAAAGTGCAGTCCTGTATGTCGTCAATGAGAAAATATAAACATTTACAAAATACTCCACTTGATATTATTTTATTTGAATCTTCCCATTTATGTTTAGGACTGAAATTGTTCAGTCTCTTATTGGCATATGTGCATACTGTGCGTATGCCTCGATATTGCCTTAATTTACAAGCATTATAAGCAAAGATGGATAGTGGTTAGCAGCAGCCAATAAGAGACTGAACAATTTCAGTCTTAAACATCAATGGGAAGATTCAAGTAAAACAATATCAAGTGAATTAAACTTCACCCCATTGCACAAGCAAGTGGCTATCAGGACTCAGTAGCTAAGTGGATAACGCGATGGCGTTTGAAGCGGACGGTACTGGGTTCGAGTCCCGGAGTGAACATCAACTCTGAGATGCAGGTGCATCCAGCTGACGAGTCCCGAATAGGACGAAACGGGCGTCCTGGATTCCGCTGCTAACCACTATCCATCTTTGCTTATTTACAAAATACTTCATATCCATTGAACACGTTAGTAACTATTCAAACTTAATGGTTCGGTTAATACTTTATTCAATTTAAACATTAACACTAAGATGTACGGACATCCATCAACTGACTAATCATACTTATGACAAAACGGAAGATGTTGGATCCCATTTTTTTTAAACCATAATCTAAATATATTAAATTTTGACAAATTATAAAAGGTGAACAATAGATATAATTAAAAAAAAGAATCCTCACTTCTGATTCAGTATTATTTGCAATGCTTATATCTTCAGTTGTGTTTTCGTTAGAATCTTCAATAAAATAATCGTTTGTTATTTGTTTGTCAGATTCTATATTCTTCCCTTCTTGATGAGATGAGATTTCGTCGTCAGATAACCGGAAATTTTCTTCAATTTTATTGTTATTTAATGATTCTTTACCAGTAACCTTTTCTTCAATATCTATTTCTTTTGATTCTATTGGAGATTGTACAGAATCTGAATGACGATGATGATGATGTGATGGACTGGAAGCTTGATCAATAACTACGTCGTTTTCAGTTACAATATCATCATTTGAATCATCATTATTAATGAATATTCGTTTTAGTTTTGTAGTACTATGAAAACGTTCTCGTTGAAGATGACCTCGATATCTAGATTGAATTATGGTAGCTGCCTCGTCTTCACTATATTTTTTTGATTGTGATAATTGATTAAAATCCTTGTTTTCTTCAAATAATTGATTATTTGGTGAAATTGTATGATTTGGTAAAACACTTGTTTGATCGATGTCTCTTACGCTTTCAAGATTTGCCTAAAAATGCATTTTGTAAAAGAAAATTTGTAAATTATACTTTTTCTAAACACTGAACAGTATGAAATAATTATATTTTGAATACAATAATTCCTGTTTGTGAGTAAAGTTTTCGTTTAGATACCATGACAAATTAAGGGATACTGGATACCTGTTTCCTCTCGATTTTACTAGGGATGAAATTTAAAACTTATAAGCTTAACAGTTATCACATTACCTTTAAACTATGTACGTTGATATTTAATGACTCATATTCTTAACTTCTATCGAATGGTGATATAATAAACATTATCTATCGTGTAAATGTACTTGATAAATCATTCTGAATGGTTTTATTCTATTTAATTACATAATAAATATCGATCCAATGTGATTGAATGAAGCTATGCACTGGATTTGTTTGACTCTTTATAAATCGCGAAGAGAAGTGCTTGCTAACTCGTTGAGTAATTTGTCTGATAGTATGTTCAATATAAAGTTCTCCACAATAACAGATCGATTGAAGTAAATACACAGTTTGATGTGGCTAAACCAAGTAATGTATCATTTAGTTGAGAAACCATTATTGATCAACTAGAAAATGCCAAGTAGAAATTAACTCAATAATAATATGTTTTGACTTCTCTAATCAGTCTATAGTGTGAGAGATAGTGAAACCATCATGCGATGGTAACAGTGATAAATATCTCACTTTCGACATTTCTGGAATCTACCAGTTACAATTTCTCAGAACAATTAGAGAGCACACATTTCGAATGATTGACTCAATAATAAGGTAAATCTGTCGATAAGTTCGGCTCTTGTATAAATAATTTTTAAGAGAAAATTCAGTTATAACAAATGCAGCTGGTTAAAGAGATACAAAAGGATGAAAATAATAAATGACAAGTCAAAATTATGAAAGATACTTGTCCACTTGACAGATATGAAGTAAAATGAAAATACATAAAGGTCATAATAATAATTGAATAACAATTATCTTACATAGTTCTGACCTGTAAATTATTTTCATCCTTATAAAGTTTTCTTAGCCCTTGATTATTATGCAACCCCATTTGATAATAAGAGTCTAAAATCAATTTATGATGCAATATTTCCTATCCTTTTATAGAAGGAACGTTGTTGCTACCTTGACATAGTGGTCGGGCTTGCTCATCGTGATGAACCAATCGACCTATACCGCCTAGAACAATCGTCCCTCAAGGTCCTACCATACCAGACAGATCGGTTGAAGAGCGGTAATACTAAAGGCAGTAAACCCAAGGTCCGAAGGCGAAGTCGTACTGCTAACTGTGCAGAGGTGGGACGGCAGTAAGGTGTTTCATTCAGACAACCAGCATAACAGCGATGCTGCCTTCCCACAAGGAGGGTTGGGGTTAGAGAAGGTTGAACCTAAAAATGTGCACCTCGCTCTATCTCACGAATTTCTGTCTCCGGTAGTAAAGTCTCAACAAGTACGGAGCTAACACGAAAATTAAAAAAGGTCATGTATGACCAATCTTAAGCAGTTATCTCTTTGGCACTGCGGTCACACTCTCGAGTCTCTAAGACCACCTCTAATCCAATTCCCTTTTCAGGTACCCCAGGAAGAAACTTTGCACGATGTGGGCAGCCAGGAAGTGATGACTACCCTTATACCTCTAGCAGTACTCAAGATCCTTCTATAGACATATACTTACCATACAACTATCAATACAAACGTAAAGCTTAAGTAAATGATTTTGTTGAAATGAAAATTTTCTCCTTTGAATAATTTTATTTTTCTTTAATGGCATAGTGGGTTATTTTAATGATCATATAAATGAAATTATAAATTTTCAAGAAAGAAAAACTATCTTTCTAAAAAGTACTTTAATATCCATTAAGATAATAAACATTCTGTGAGTTAATACGTTCTCTTTAAAAAAGAACTTAATTGTTATTTATTGTGTCATTTTTGTTTCCAAGTATTAGTTTTATTACTAGTAAAATGAATTAAGATAAAGTAATATATTAATTTAATAGTTAAATTGATGAGTCAATTGAAGCTAGACCACCATGGAAAACCTGGAAGCACTGGACGGCCGTTTAGTCCTACTGTGGGACTCCTTAGGAGTGTACATCTACTATCCTGCCTCACGAGATTCGAACCTAGGTCCTATCAATCTCGCACGCGAACGCTAAACCTTTAGATCATTGAGTCGGCATCGAACGGTGTTAATGTCTAACTTCAATCAATCCATGAAATCGGGCTACCGTCCATTATTGTAGAACATAAGTTATGTTCACTAGTAATGAGTATCTGCAATCTTTTGTAAGATGATCCTTTTTCTGTGGAATTTAAATCCACCGATTGACAATAGGTTGACTAGATGAATATTCTTGAAAATAAATCAGAAGTGTATTGAAACGGAAGACTAAAGATTAAATTGAAATAGGACATATCCGAATTCCAAGCTACTCATATATTAAGAAAAGTTGATACTTTGGGTAAGTCAACTATTACCGCTTTTTACCGCTTCCAATTGTATCTACTAGTTTACATGTACATTCCAAAGCCTAGATATAGTAAAAACTGTAAGGAGGGTTATTGTATGCATCTTTGAGTACTTTCCAGGACAGATGAAACATAAAAGACAGCACACTCTAGCAGCTCAATAATTTGCCCATTTGCTTGATAATTAATATAATTGACAGATAATTCCCATTTAAACATTAAGGGTGAAAGGAAAGCAGTTAGGAGTTCTATACTTGAACACCTTATCGACTGTAACCATTCTACAGATCCACAAATTGATTTTAAGGTTGTTTATATGATTAGTCCAAATCTACCTAGATTTCTTCGTATCCAACTCTTAAAAATAGCCGAAGCTCTTACCATTCAGGAGCTTAAACCAGAACTATGCATACAAAAGAAGTACGTCTTATCGCTATCGTTACCTTGGCCTTAATTATTTTGATTATTTTATTATTATTATTATTATTATTATTATTATTATTATTAATGTTGCATTCCCCCCTTTACTAATGTCTTATATTCTCATTGTTTTTATTCGTAAATACTCATCATATTACCTTATTTATTTATTTTTCACACCTCTATGACCTTTAAGTATTATAACAAAAAAACATTTTAATCATCTTATTATATTCATTAAATCTATTGTTATTATTCGTATTACGTAATCTAGTATTATAACCCCTTTTTATTATGTCATGGTTAACTGTGTTCACATTTCCTCACGGAATTAGTACTTTTACAAAATTTTATATATATACGATTGTACAGCTTGATAATAAATTCGTTGAAAAGAGATCCCTTCGCTGAACTTCGTGTTTTAATTAATATAATACCAAGTTTTCAAATTTATCATTAAGAGAATGAATTCTAGTCTATTACGACTTCCCGAAACCATTACTCAAAAGATAACTTAAACAAATCTGTAAATTCAATAAAATGTAGTTTTGTTTTCCCACGATAACATTTTAAGTCATTGGTTGACTAGCATATTTCTCCATACTTTTAGTTATGAATTGGTGTTACTTCATCTTTATGTCATATCTGAGCGTTACTCAGATAATCAATAGTTTTGTAGTTAACCTAACGTAAGCCCTAACTTGAGATCCTTAAGGCTAAAAGAAAAGAGATAAACAATAGAACTCATTACACCGGGAATTGAAGGTAAACATCACAAGAATGAATAGCACTTAAGAATGACTGAAAAGGAAAGTTTAAGACGGTGTCGATCAGAAACTATTAGTCAATGATCCATGCTTCATGAGGAACAACAAGCAAAGTAATTAAATAAGTAATTATATAACTCACAACATCAGTTTTCCATTTATTTTAATTATGTTTCTATGCTTTTCTCAGTTTTTTTTTTCTATCACAATATTTGTACAAATAGATTATAAAAAGACAACTATATGAACGAATTTGTAACTCTATCATAATTGTGTCTCTTTTTTTCTTAATTTACATCTATATATGTCTAACCAAATTTTAATCAAGAATTTTCTGATGTAAAGCGGTAGCATCATATTTATGACTTAAAATTAAATAAATTAAATTGTACATTTATTAACCAAGAATAACAAACATTGTAGAATGAACCAAAATTTATTTAATTTAGTATTCCCTAAAGCTTTTACAATCGAATCATTAGTTATGATCAACTTAGAGTCTGATACAAACGTGAGTTAGTCCAAGTTCCTATACTATACATTAATACGACAACATCAAATCAACAAGATGGAATGGTAAAACAGTTCGAAATAATGTAATAACAATGATAATAGGAAAAATTAAGATTTAAAACAATAGTTTCAAGAAGTGAGTGGAGAAATATGTATAAAAGGAATACTTAAATTAAAAACTGCAAAAAAGATAAGTAGTGAACGCATCTACGTCAATGTGACTAATTCTGAGCCATGTCATCTAAAGTCTACAGCTACTGACAGTGATTATCGCATGAACCTCATAGAAGTAGTCTTCAACTACTAACACAGGCATATCTAAAAGTCAACAAGTTCATGGACAGATACAACCGTTTCAGTTTGACCACCTGCGGCTTTATATACATATATACTTAATTGATGTCAGCTATACTTGGAACAATGTAGGATAATAATGTTTGCCTATTATGATTCTTTTTTTCAGACAGTAATACTGCATCAGATAACTGTATTTGATTGTTGTTGTTTCTATTACAGTACAAATCAAGTACATTCCATATAAGTGCCAATTTGCATAAATTAATAAAATACTTTTAAAAATGTAATATTGTGGATATTATAGTAATTTTAATAGTTGAATTCATGAGTCAATTGAAACTAGACAACCATGAAAAACCTGGAAGCACTGGACACCCGTTTCGTCCAAGTATGGGACTCCTCAGCAGTGAGCATCCACGATCCTGCCCCCCGCGAGATTCTAACCCAGGACTTGTCCATCTTGCGCGCGAGCGCCTAACCTCTAGACTCATGAATTCAACTATTAAAAATAATAAAACTACTTATTA